CTTCTTCATCTCTTTCGTCCCACTGGCGGTCCAAGAGCTCACAGAGAGAGGAGTTTGGCGCATGGCCACTCGTCTCGCCAAACACTTTGGCTCTTTCTCGTTCATGTTCGAAGTCTTTGTCTGCCAGATTTACGCCAATGCTGTCCATCAAAACCTGTCATTCGGTGGTGCTCGTTATATTGGAACCGGCCGTGGTTTCGCAACCGCTCGTATTCCATTTGGTGTCCTGTACTCACGTTTCGCCGGTCCTTCCATCTACGCCGGTGCTCGACTATTGCTCATGCTCCTTTTCTCCACGTCTACCGTATGGAGTGCGGCCTTGATCTGGTTCTGGGTTTCGCTGCTTGCCCTTTGCATCTCGCCCTTCCTTTTCAACCCCCACCAATTCGCCTGGCAGGACTTCTTTATTGACTACCGTGATTACCTTCGCTGGCTCTCTCGCGGTAACTCACGGTCTCACGCGTCGTCTTGGATCGCTTTCTGCCGATTGTCTCGTACTCGCATTACGGGTTACAAGCGAAAGCTCCTGGGCGTTCCGTCTGAGAAGGGATCTGGTGATGTTCCTAGAGCTCGCATTACCAACATCTTTTTCAGCGAAATCGTCGCACCCTTGGTTTTGGTTGGTGTTACCTTGATCCCGTACCTCTTTATCAACTCCAGAACAGGGACTATGGACAAGGACAAGTCGGCGAAGAATGCTGTTGCCCGAATTGCGATTGTGGCATTCGGACCCATCGCTATCAACGCTGGTGTTGCTGGTATGTTCTTTGGTATGGCGTGCTGCATGGGTCCAATCTTTAGCATGTGTTGTAAGAGGTTTGGTGCGGTGCTAGCCGCCATCGCGCACGCCATTGCCGTCATCATCCTCCTCGTTATCTTCGAGGTCATGTTCTTCCTCGAGGGTTGGTCTTGGCCTAGGTGTGTGTTGGGTATGATCTCGGCGGCCGCAATCCAACGTTTCGTCTACAAGCTCATCATCTCACTTGCCTTGACTCGTGAATTCAAGAACGATCAATCCAACATCGCCTGGTGGACTGGAAAGTGGTACAGCATGGGCTGGCACTCCCTTTCCCAGCCTGGTCGTGAATTCCTTTGCAAGATCACCGAGCTCGGCTATTTCGCTGGCGACTTCGTGCTTGGCCACTTGATTCTTTTCATCATGCTTCCTGCTCTCTGTGTTCCCTACATTGATAAGTTTCACTCCGTTATTCTTTTCTGGCTGCGCCCAAGGTAAGTTGACCTCCTCGCATCCCCCTCATTTACAATGGTTTTCTGACTTCAATATTAGTCGTCAAATCCGGCCTCCAATTTACTCTTTGAAGCAGTCTAAGCTTCGTAAGAGAAGAGTGGTTCGCTTCGCAGTCCTCTACTTTGCGATGTTGCTCCTCTTCCTCGTTCTTCTTATCGCACCGCTGGTCGTTCGCAAGTTGAACATTAGCCTGCCCAAAATTCCGCTGGATCTCTTACAACCCCTTGACGCACAGCACAACAACACCATCTCACAAAATACCGGCATTGGACTTCCAGGTGCCTCAAGCGGGATCCCGGCGTCGGTTTTGGCCACCGCTACGTACTAGCGGTAGAATTGCTTTCTGAAATTCCACCTTGCTGCCTTTCTAGTTTCTGAACGGATTCATGAAAATGAGCTGTATAAAGTAGCCAGCGCCTTGAAGTAGCTGCTGTGTCATACGTTTGCTTTTCCCTCAATCTTTCTTTTTTTGAAGCTTCGCGCGTGCAGCTCTGTTGCCGCCTAAGTTTAATGCATTATATTTGTTTATCGTTTGCTGTATTCTCACGGTGTTGTGTGTTTCATGTGCGATCATTAGACTTGCGAATTCTTGTATTGTTCCCTTTGTGGCCTATTAACCATTTATCCTTCATTCTCTATCTACTTCTGCCTGTTCCTGTCACAGGACCAACTTCTCGTAGATGTACAGACACGGACGTAGAGCACCTTGATTTGGCACGTATCACCTACGCACTCCTGAGGCTGACTGATTGGCCGGCAATGTTAGGACTTGATAATCTCATTTGCAGGGTGGATTTCGATGATGTACTCCGGAGTACTCCGTACGTACAATACGTACTTGTATTGAGACCGCTTACCCTAACGTGGCGGCGGCCTCAGGATTTCCTTCCCGCCTGTGCCTTGCGGAAGGGCCAAATGCGATTTCCGATAAATCCACGGCATCACGTGCTTCCCGTGTTGGACCATCCAGCCGAGAGTCTCAGCGGCCGCGACACCTCCATCAAGACGGTCATCGTCGTGATTTCGTCGGTCGATGCTTGGCTTTGATCGCGAAGCTCTTATATCTCTAAATTCAGAACCCCCTCCCTCTTTTTGTCTTCTTGCGCTGCGAGCGCTGTGTTACCTTGTCCATCATGGATATCCAGGAGACTCAGCGTCTCCTTTCGGAGTATCTCCATGAGCTTGCAGACCTCTTCCATCGCGTTCCGGGCTCCGCAATCTTTCTTCGCTACGTAAAGTCCAGCTATCAAAATGATCCTATTCGCTCTGCAGTCGAGCTCTTTCTATTCCTATTCGCGGTTCGCTATTTGCTCGCCCCCAAGTATTCCACCAAACCTGGCGTGGTTCAACTCTCCGAGGATGAGATTGACGACTTGGTAGACGAGTGGACTCCAGAACCACTTGTAGGAAAGCCCACAGTCTTAGAGGAGATGGAGGTTGATAAGCGGACGGTGATTGTTGGGTAATTCTCCTCTCACATGCCCTTGCTACTAGATGTCCTATTGTACTGGTCAATGCTGATGCATCATGGCGGCTCGTAGTCCAGTCGGCCCCAAATCGAAATTGGCTAATGGCCGAACCGTTGTTAACCTCGGCTCCTATAACTTCTACAACTTTAACACCAACGAGTCGCTCAAAGAGAAAGCCATCCAGACTCTCCGCAATTACGGCGTTGGCCCTTGTGGGCCCCGAGGCTTTTACGGCACTCAAGATGTTCATATGAAGACAGAGGCGGACGTTGCCTCATTCCTGGGCACTGCATCTTGTATCATCTACTCCCAGGCATTTTCCACCATTTCAAGCGTTATCCCGGCGTTCTCGAAACGTGGAGATATCATTGTTGCGGATAAGGGCGTTAACTTTGCTATCCGCAAGGGCATTCAAATCTCTCGTAGCATGGTTCGGTGGTATGAACATAACGACATGGAGGATCTGGAAAGGGTGCTCGCCAAAGTTACCAAAGAGCAAGCTAGAAAACCACTCACGAGACGTTTTATCATCACTGAGGGTTTGTTTGAATCGTACGGTGACATGGTTGACCTGCCTAAGATTGTACGTGCATCCCAGTCCTTTTACTCGCCATGGCAAACTCGACCGCTAATAAGGATTACAGATTGAGCTCAAGCTGAAGTACAAGTTCCGACTTATCCTCGATGAATCGTGGTCGTTCGGCGTCCTCGGGAGAACCGGTCGTGGTGTCACGGAGCACCAGAATGTTGACGCGGCTGAAGTTGACATGATTGTGGGCTCGCTGGCCGGACCCTTGGTTGCAGGTGGAGGCTTTTGCGCTGGTTCGGAGGAGATCGTTCACCATCAGCGCATTTCCGCCGCGGCTTACACATTTTCTGCAGCACTGCCTGCTCTTCTGTCGACAACTGCCAGTGCCACAATTAATCTCCTTCAGAATAGCCCTGAAACGATATCCCAGCTGCGGGAGCATACCAAGGCCATGTGGGCACAGCTCGACCCCCGTAGTGATTGGGTATACTGTACCAGTGCTCCCGAGAATCCTATCATGATTCTGGTCCTCAAGCCTGAAGTGGTTGCTGCTAAGAGGCTGTCCGTTGAAGACCAGCAATTTCTGCTGCAAGATGTGGTAGATGAGGTACGGGTTTCCCAGCGAATGTGATAGCTTGTTAATTGTTAACTTTTACGACGCAGTGCCTTGCAAATGGTGTCTTGATCACCCGCCTCAAGACCCTCCTAGACAACTTTGAGCCGAAGCAGGTCGTTTCCCCAGCATTGAAAGTCTGCGTGACGACCGGTTTGACCAAAAAGGAGATCGAAAAAGCTGGAACCATTATCCGTCATGCTATCACGAAAGTTCTGAGCAAAAAGAAGTAACCCTTACGTTTTCCGGATTTTTAGAAGGACTCGGCCACGAAAATTGATGCCCTCTCGATCCATTACGCTATGCCTTGTTTATCATATTCACACCTTGTACAATTTTTACTTCCACTGGTTTTGTACAGCATACCTGCAAAGTGGACAGCATGCTTGCCACGACTAGTTCACGGAAATTGGGATGGGGCCACTGAAGGGGTATCCGGCATGATGCAGGAACCGTTATTTCTTCCACCCAGATGAGATGCTTCCCCTAATTTCTTGGTCCCCTACTAATATTATTTTCCCTTCATTCCTTCCCAAGACTTCTGTCTCAGAATGACAGACTGTTATTAGACTTCTATCGTGTTATAATATTAATTACATTCTGATGCATTATATCAATCACTTCTCTCTTTCACTGCATGGCAGAGGCCACATTCATTCACTAAAGGATATAGGGACTATAAGGGCCTTGGCAGTTGTCTCACATACTTATGATTGGAATCTTAATGCTGAGAACGCCGTTCGAGCGAATGGATCTGGGCTTGCCATGCATTCCTGGAGATACATCCGGCAGGGTTTGATTCATATAGGGCAAGGGGCGAGCCAGCATTCCGGATATCCAGCATCCATTAGCCTATACATTCTCACCCAACACAGGAATGAGGCAATGGTCCCTTGACATCTCAAATATTTTACCAGCCACAGCCCAGTGAATGTCAGTGGAACAACTCATTCCGGGGTCGACTATCCCACTCTTCTTTACTCAACAGACGATTCTCTACCTCGGTTTTGCTGCTAATCTCAGGGTCAAAATGCTCTTATAGCGGGTTGCCTCCTTCTATTACCTGCTATTTTCCGGATCAAGTCACCCCACGGGCTCCATCTGAAAAGTCCCTTGATCCAAGGTGCGAGTTCAATCGCCATGAAGTGGCTTGTATGTGTCCTTGCCGTGCTCCTGCTCAGCCTCCAAGTCAAGGCGCTTCCTCATGGTAAGTTCCACTGTGCTACATGAGAAGAGAAACAGTTCGACAGAATGGGCTATTCGCTCTAAAGATTGACTCTGTATGCTGATCCACTGAGTGCTAGAAAGCTTAGATCAGGGTGATCCAGCACCACCTTCAGGAGATGCAGGCAACCATGAAACCCCCAACAGTGGCGATCCCAATAACCTCCCACCCTTGTTACCAATACCTGATCCAGCCACACCCGAGCTGGTACCTAGTCTGCCTATGGAAGGAGGATATGGCATCTCCTACGCCCCCTACAACGATGACGGGACCTGCCGATCCGTCGATGGAATTAACGAAGACCTGGACACGATAAGCACAGATTACAGCTACGTCCGTATCTACGGCGTTGACTGCGACCAGACCAAAAACATCGTATCCGCGGCCCGTCAACGTAACCTCCGCGTCTTCGCTGGCCTCTTTGACCTGCAGGACTTCTCAAGCAGCCTCGACCAAATCATCTCTGCAGCAGCAGGTGACTGGTCCACCTTCCACACGATCAGTATCGGCAACGAACTCGTCAATAAAGGCCAAAACCCGCAAGACGTAGTAAACGCCGTGCACACCGCACGCGCTAAACTCCGTGCAGCAGGCTACCAAGGCCCTGTCGTGACAGTGGACACGTTCTCCGTCCTTCTCAGACACCCCCAACTCTGCGAAGCATCCGATTACTGCGCAGCCAACTGCCACGCCTTCTTCGACGCGAATCAAATCCCCGACAACGCGGGAAAATATGCCCTCGAACAGGCGAACCGTATCTCGGCCGCAGCAGGCGGGAAACGCACCGTGATTGCTGAATCCGGCTGGCCGTACCGCGGCCAAGCAAATGGTAAAGCTGTCCCCTCTGTCAGGAACCAGGCCATCGCGCTCCATGCCCTGGGGTACTCGTTCCGGGATCGAAAGGAGGATATGGTGCTTTTCTCGGCCTTCGATGATCTCTGGAAACAAGATGAGCCTGGGACTTACGGCGCTGAGAAATTCTGGGGTATTATGAGGCGTTGAACGCTTCTGTCCATTTTTACTTGCTTCTTATCCCCGAGTGTCTCGGGTTCTTGGCTTGCGTGGTGTGATGGTTGACATTGATTTCGCTGGGCGTGGTCTGTGTCTTTCTCTCGCTACGTTCCTCTACTTCCTGGTATCTACTTGTTGTCCTGTGCTGTGCAACGTACACGTACAATTATTCTGTACATATAAGAATCCGTTTAACTCTTCACAATGAAGCATGAGCATAGCTATTGAGCTCCTTCACCTTCTTAGCATGAGGAATTAAAGCTTGTAGAGTGTATCTACGGTTTGTTGATGCGGGTACTTTCAAACTTGGATAGTCCATGCTAGATTCAACGGTCATAAATCAAACACTAAAAGTGGAGCTAGATGTCCAAACAAAGTCTAGAGAGGCACCTTACACGAGCTCTGACACTAACCTAATACACGGGTTCTAGAGGATGCCTTTTTGAGCCTGCTACCCTGGCCATGATAGACCCATGATACCAGAATTCTCACCACCCCACACACTCTCGTAGAAACCAAAGCCTCGCCCCAAAACACTGCTATAACTGGCCTCTCCTATGGTTTATCGTCACGAGACAAGGAACGCATCTTAGTAGTGTAATAGCATACGAGGCAAGCCGGATCCGTGATGGCACAATCAGTTCTCCTGGACTGTTTTCCTCTTCTTATAATGCTGTTTCAATTGATCCCGAGATCCGTTGTGCATAAACCATCGTGTCGAATAACTGCATTTCGTCCAAAGTGGCTCGTCGTACTATAATCTATGGCTCAACTTACGTATACAGAATCCAATCAGGCGGCCCAAATACGCTAGAACAAAAGAAACAAGAGAATTCGCCTCCAAAATGCAGGCTTATAGGGGCATTTTGGATGGGCAGCACTCAGTTTACATCCGTGATCGATGAATCTTATAGTTCTAGTCTTAGGAGAGATTCTAGGAAACAGTAGTAAGTAAGCACTAAGAGTGATCTCTGTGCTAGAGTAACCTTGTATATCCCCTAATTCCTAATGCACATATATCAAGTTTGATGCCTGGGACCTTCTTTCTTGACTATGCTTGACCGCCGCTACATTGATCTCATTTGTCCGCTGCTTGAGTATTACAATATGCCTAGTTAATTCATGAAAAGGAAAGGAGGAATAGGTTTTCAGATAAATGTTACTTGTACATAGTTGTGTAGTGTCCAGTATCGAATATCTATCCTCTTTGGTGAATGTTGCCAACTCTGACAAGTCATTCATATTACTTGACCTCCTTGTGCAATCTCGACAAAAGGAAAAAGCAAAAAAAAGGGCTGACTCTAATTGGCTACATGCAGCCAAAGTTTCGTTTGCTGAAGTTCCAGTGCTGTAGGCAAATCTTGGCCTTAACTGGATTGTATTTGATGTTGTAGCGATCTATTAACAAATACAAGAGGTTGGTATAAACGAATGCTTTTTATACTTTTTTAGTACTCTGTAACGGAAGAGGGAAACAAAATGCAGTAAACAATATGACAATCTCTAGCATTCTAGCGCTATGCTATTACTATTGTGTATCAATGCAACCAAGTAAGGAACGGTACTCCATACACCCGAGCCGGAAGGAAAATAATCTTGCAAGGAAACAGCGCCATGCCTATGCCTATGAATGCTGATGCAATGGATTAGTCAATTGATCATATCCGTGGCCTTAACCGATCAAGCAATTAACTAAGAGACACATTTTGTACGGCCTCTTCCACGCTGACTGTCATGTTATCGTGGCGTTTTTCACTCGGAACTTCAGGAAGTGCGGCGTGTCCATCATGCCCGTCTTGACTTAGGGTTGGGGAATCAGTTTGGGATGGTCTGCGTCGACCCGATCGACGGGTCTTGGGTGGTTCGGGTTTCTGGCCGTGCTTTTGGGCGGAGCTGCTGCTCTGTTGGATTTGGAGTCGGGACGGGCTCGTGACTGGAGTGCAGTGACTGGAGACATGATGAGGGTGGACTACTGGGAGGGTAGACCGTCTCGGTGGGGGGACCGCTGGGGGTGGGTTCGAGGCGGAACGGCGGCTGTGAGCTGGAATAGGCGGGACGAGGCCTGATGTGCTTGTTGAATTCCTTCTGTCGGAGGGACCTTGTGGGATGGAAGGTGTTGAGGGGGTGACGGGACTTGGGCTTGGGCTTGCTCCGGTTCCTATTCCTGGCTCTTCGGGGATCTTGTCGTTTTCGTCTCCAGTAGTGCGTCGCCCACGCCAGCGTCTTGACTTCGGCGGTAGCGGTTTGACCTTTGGTTTGTTGGGGCTGGATGGGCGGTCCGTTGTCGCTGTTTGAGTCTTGTTGCGGCTCGGCGTTAGGACGCCTGGTTTCTCGTGCTGTGCGGCTACTTCCTGTACGCTCAGGGAGGACGACGATGCAGGTTCCAAGTGCATGCCCAAGCGTTGGGCTTGGTTGAGTACTTCTGTTTTAGGCGACTCATCAAGATAGGTCGGCGACAGACTCACGGGGGAGCTCTCAACTGTGCTCGTGGGAGAAATTGGCTGTGAGATCGTTGGCTCCAAAGGCGTACCTATCCCAGCCTCCGAATGAGAACCATCAGGGATCGTAGGACAAGACGTAATGGTTTCTTCGGGATTTTTAGGAACCTGAGCGTCTGGCTCTTCATCTCTCAACCAGTCCACGGTAGCACATCGAACGACAAGTCTTCTCGTCGTTTCGTCGACCTCGTCGAAATGCATGATTTTCTCCTGATCGATCTCGTTGCTGGAGAGCTGACCTCGGACGAGGATACTGAGCATTCTTCTTAGTTCTTCTTGCTTGTAGTGTGGCGGTGTCTTTAATTGGGTATGGGCTAGCAATGGGTAGAGAACGCGCAGGTAAGTGTGCCGTAAAGCAGAGGCCTCTTCGGGCAGGTCCAGAAGATTTCTGATTAAGATATCGACCAGGACATGGAGATCATTCGTGTAGAAGTACTCAAAGGTCGTGGGCGTTGTGAAGATCAGGTACAGTAGCTTTAGGGTGAGAAGTTGAAGCGATGTTTCGGCTGTCTTTGTTAATACCATATACGGCGAAAGTTTGAAATGATACCACCTACCTTCTCGATTTATAAGAAGGATAATGTTCTCGCCAAACGTCTTATAGAGATTACCATGCATCGACAAGATTTTGATAACTTTGTTTGTCAATGGAGTCGAACTCTTCTCGTCCACGGGATCGTGTGCTGAGATCATGAATTGCTCGTTTAGAACCAACTGCTAGTCATGAGTATGATCCCTCGGACAACAGCACCAGGCACCACTCACCAAAACTCGTATTACTGTATAATGGTACGGGTCACTTGAATCATAGGAAAGCTCCTCAATGATGTCAAAGAGGCTCTTGACGAACTCATCATCCACGAGAACTGCGGTCATTACAATACTTAGTTTAAACGCACCCTTCTTTTGATGGCGGGTCCAGCTGGTGAAAGCCTCATCTCAAGACGAACAGGCACTACTCACCCAGATCTTCTATCTTAATTCTTTGAATCCTTGACATCTCATAGATCAGGTCCATAAAAAGTCGATGAAGCCCTGTTCCATCGCCTTCAACATCTTTCTTCCTGTTTTGCGCTTGAAGGAGCTCTAGCAAACGTGGAAATGCACCCTCTTCGTTCATCATGTGTAATGCGACTTCATTCTGTCGACCATCAAAGAGAAGGAATGACGAAATTAGACAAAGTGTATCCGAGTCATCGTCCTATGCAATCCGCCGTTAACGACTGGTGTCAAACAGATACAGCTGTGATGACTGCTACAAGGCCATACCTGCAATAAACCGTAGATCATTTGTCTCCGAACATAATCCGCATGCGAGGCGAAAATCTTCGATGAAAGCAGCTTGTACGAGCATCTCGTAACCTCCAACTCAGTCTGGAGATATTCATCTGTTGTCGTCCCCAGGTATTATCTTATCAGCCCATGTCCAACTCTGCATTAGATCATGCTCGGATGACGCAAGCGCAAAGGGAATTCAAGAAATTCGGATGCAAGAAATAGAGTATCGGACCTTTGTATTTGGTCGCCAGATTCAGATACGATCGCAGAGCATTGTCGATGAGGTCTTCGGAGGAGCAAAGGGCGGACACAATCTCTTGAATCTCTGTGATAAGAACACGTCGCATACGTCAGTTAATTTACCCCGAGTTATTTTGTAAGGTGTAGAGGGCCATGGGACGAGGTAAAAAGCACAAATTCCTCTTCGAGAAAGAGTTGATCCCAGAGAGGTATTTCGGCGCAAGCCAGAGCGCAGATCCCTATGAAATCACTTACCATCCCAGAACTGTTGTTCATTTTCCAATGAGACCTCAAACTCCATTTCCCACGGCTCGCTCGTCGTCGTCGGGTGTGTCGTGACTCTGCACTCATCCCGTCTTTGCGCCCGTCGCGAATGCCTGTGGGCTCCGTGGGGGGAGGGACAAAGGGGAGCGAATTGATTGGGGTTAATGACGTTGGTGCTTGAGGATGAAAGGTGAGTGAATGTGGCCAACTTTTGGAACTAAAAGGCGGGCAGCGGGGCCCTTTGCGGCGATCCCTCCGCGTGGCCTAAGGCTTTTCTTTCTTTTCCGTCGGAATGCATGCATGCACTTACCTACTACTAGTAGTAGTATTATGCCGGACTTGGGCACCTGTTGACGCTTTCGCAGCAATTTAGTCTTTGTCCTTACTAGGGTCCGTCTACTTCGCCTACTGGTCTAGACAATTATTTGGCTGCTGGCATCTCAAGATCAGAGACCCTCTTCTTCAAAATGCATAGCTATATACTTCTTGGTATCACAGTACACTTTTTTACATAGGATATAGCAGAAATCAAGCAAAGGATAAATCAAAACTAGTATACGGGGCGTTTGAAAGGGTGAGCTTCAGTGTTCCTGCAATGACCAGTTGTTAGCATCATCATCATCCATAAGGCAGAATACACAAGGAGTACTTACAGAACATATTCGTCTAGATCCACCACATTCGGATCACTGAAGAGTAGATAGAAGTATTTCAAGGTCTCCGCGAGCCAAAACGACTGCATCTCATCGGATTTTGTCGGCTTATCGACGGTGACGTCCTTGATCGTAGCATGCGCTATCTCTGTCCGAGTATACTTGGCGATAGCTTCGAACATCTTCCAACCCTTCTCGCGCCAGTATTCCTCGCCAGTAAGGCGGTACATGATGAAGACGGACTCAATGGCCTCAGGACGAAGCAGATAGATGCGAGAGTTAATGCGGACCACACCCGGTGGAAGATGCTCGTTCTGAATCCGCGACAAAGCAAATCCTTCGTGAGACAGCGTTGAATCTGTCGAAGATCCTTTAGGGTCCCGCCCCGCTACGTCACTAGAATCGCTAGGTTTTGGAGTATGCGTAGGGCTAGCGATGACGTGCCAATTGCCTCGCTCGGGGTCACGCTTCTCGCGAAGAGATCTTGGAGTAGGAGACGTCTCGTTGGTCTGGATTCCTCTCCCTTCCTCCATCTTCTTCTTCTCATCCGCCTTCGCGCTTAGCTCTTTCTGCTGCTTGCCCCTAGCAATGCGTTGCTCTTCGTTAGGATCCAAAGCCTTCCAATACTTAGCCTCGTCCCACGCACACGGTTCATTCTCTTTGCAGGGTATCATCTGAAATTGTTCGGGCATGATACCGGTCTTCGTAGACTCATACGCCCATACACATCCATCCGTCAATTTGGCAGCGAGTTTAAGGTCACTGTCAATTCCGAACAACTTAGACCCAATGGCAAACATGCCGCCAGCGAAGCAGGTCAGATGTGCCCCCTCATACTGATAGACCGGTTCGGCGTCCAGTCGGGGTTTGGTGACGGTCGCTAGAAAGCGGACGTCACGGTCGTCTTTGATCATAGGTCGGAAGAGGAGGTGCTTTCGCGTTGCATCTGCGGTTTTTTCATACATTGTACGGTACTGTTCGTTGAGACCACCTAAAAGCATATACTCCTTAGGTAGGTATTCGTATGTCGAATCTCCCGGGGCCGCGAGCCCGAATTGGAGGGATCCTGGAGCATTGGTAAGCCCCCCTTTGCAGTACTCTGCAGTGTCTCCAGTTGAAGTTGGAATTTCATGTGCCTTGGGAGCTGGGATCTGGGGGTTTGTGTCAAAGATGGCTGGCTGTGCATCTTCATGAAGCTGACGTGAGTCCAAAAGAATTCTGTAACTTTCCGCGTCCGTCGGAAAAGAGACTGTGCTTTCAACAGGTGTGGGGATAGCCGTAGGAGTGGAAGAATTCCGTGGTAAATCACGCGGGGCGTCGTGGCCCGTTCGGGATTGAGAAACTGTACATCCAGAAGCATCGACTTTCATCGGCCACAGACCTGGCATACTAGTTTGGCTTTGGAACTTCTCTAACTCGTTCGTGATCCGTGCAATTGCATCATAGTATTTGTCATCCCTGGTCAATTGCGCTAAGCGTGTGAATTCTACCGAAAGAGAGCCCAGTTCGGCAAGGACGGACATGATACTAGCACGATGGGGATTTGACGAATCTCCCCTGCCTTGATTGTTAGCCAGCATTACAAAGATACCAGGTCCATGTAGTAATACTTACGGCTTCCACTTGTAAAAAAGCATCGGCATCCGGTTGGGCGTATCAAAGGCGCCCATCAAGACTTCCGCCAACTCGACCGCTTTTTCCAGGAGTAAGTCGTGCTTATGTCCCGAGATATCGTAGGCACCCAATAGACCACCGAGATATCGGATTGCCGTTTCGAAAACAGGAATCTCGCTCTTTTTATTTGTTGTAAAGTCAATTTTTTTCACCTGATCGACAGCAATAGAAAATTCTTCCTCCAAGCCCATGATCCAAAGGGTGTCCAACGTGTCAACAAGTGTTGCTCCCCACCCGTTGAAAGGATCTCGAAATCCACCCCGGAGCGGCATGACCTCGTCGTGGCCCATAGCATTCTTCTTGTACCCGTTCCATGCATGCTCGAATGTCGCCTTGATAGTGGATAACCTGCTTAGCCGTTTAATCTTATCTTCTGAGGCTTCATCGGAGAATTTGGCCTGCAGTTTCGGAAGAGACTTAGATTTGCCGGTCGGTAATTTGATCAAATCGGCGGGTGTGACAGGATATCGCTCCGGCAATTTCTTCCAATGAGGCACCGGTTGATCCTCGAGACGGTCCGAATCTAGTTTACCCTGACTCTGTGCGCCAGAGTTGTCCGGGAAATAAGGTCCATCCTCCTTGGACGGCGGTTCGTTCGACGGTTTAGGGCGTTCCGGGCTCGATAAACCATCTTCTGAGTGGGGAGGCTGTGAAGGGACCTTTTCGTCTGATGTACTGGGATCAGTCGAGCCCTTTGGCAGAGGCGTTGGCAGAGGGGCCTCGGGTTCCTTGTTGTCCGCTGCAGGTGGACTTTGAGGGTAAGAAACCGGCCGATCGACAGGCGGAGGAACACCCAATGTCACCGTAGGGGGCTGGCGAGACCGACTAAAATGAATGATAGCCAAGAGAGATACAGCTGCAAATATTAGCAGAACTCGATATCGCCGGGCTCGAAACATGGTTGGTGACGTCGCCGTATGCGAAAAAAGGACCAAAAAGATAAAAAGTGATCCAAAAAAGAGGAATTAAGCGTAGGAAAGAAGGATGAAGAGCGACATGGAAAAAATCCACCAAAGGGGGCAGGGAAGGGAAAAGTACTGTTGTGAGAGTCGAGATCAGGAGAACAAGAGAGAGACTGGTAAATTCAAGTAAACAACAAAAAGAATAGTGCAAATTGGATAAATCAAGTGGGGAGCGGTTTCTTTAGATAGATCATCATAAAGACAGATGCTTTACTGTCCTGCCTATAGGAGAGTATTAGCGATTGAGGAGAAAATAAAAAAATATATATATATTAGAAATTTTCCAATTGCCCGGCTGAAGCAAAGAAGACCTAACAGATTGTTGCACCAACAGGAGAGAAGGCCAAGAGACGAGTGCCTCGGGCGGGGATCGAAAATTTGATTGTCAGTCACATTACCGACTCAAGTCCTAGAGGGGAAAGCAAAGAAGTAGTAAAGATCAGCATTTCGCCTAATACATGGGTGAATTCTTTAGTCCTATGCATAGAGAGTCACATTGCTCTGCTTGATTGTATCAAGCGCCAGCAGAGGGATCAGATGCGCTGCTCTGGCTGACATCGGCACCGAGGGATACATCCCCCGGATCAGCGACCGAAGGATCAGCACCCCCCCCATGCGAGGTTCCAGACTCTTCAGGTCAATTGGGAAGTAGTACTTGTGAGACTGTTCTTCCCTGCTCTTGAATATGGTGACTGTTTGGAAAAATTAAATTAAAATATATGCCTATCCCTACTGCAGGACTGGTGAAGCATCATACTCCGTATTCAATCCGTAACGATGGAGTACTAGAATAAGATACTATAGTATACAATGAAAGGGTCTCGCCGGACCCTGCAGGGTTCAGTGTTTCTAAAAATAACCCCTTGACCAGGGGCAGGGCCATTGCATGTCCTTATGTAATCAGTCGCTTCTAGGTGCAGACTATATAGTAGGTAGCAATAGGTGCAAAACTAGAAGATTCACAAAGCATAAAGAAAAATAAAAAAAAATAAAAAAGAAAAAAACTAAAAAAGAGAGAGAGAGAGAGAGAGAGAATTACATACAACACCATAAGTATGGTAGTGGTCACCAGGCGCTGCGTATGACAGCTTGCCACCCTATTCAGTCTTCCTTCAGAACACTTCAGACAACTGGGCAATATTAGAGACTAGACTATCCTATACGGACTAGGTGATACCGCAATAAGAAGGCAAAAGTAGAAGTAGACAGATATCAGATCTCATGGGCTATTTCCTAACTAGCTCCGTACTCCTACACAAAGCACCTAGTATTCCCTTTGTTTTCTTCCAGACTATGCAGGCTTATTCTGATTCATACTGTGTAAGCGCCCTTCTGGTATACGTAATCTGATTGACGGTATGGCTTGAGGGTGCTGTAGGCCAAAGGGCTACAAGATGTGGTATAGTATTAGGGAGATCAGAAATGTTCATAGGCTTGTGGGGGATGGGATTGAGATCGCCTGAGGATCTGAACTCTGCACGATTGGACTATAGGGCGAGCCGGGGTAATCGCTGCTGAGGCAGCAGCAGTCACAAACATGGATGGGTTTCCGCAATTATCGCGTTTAAGAGATCTGAGCCAACCAGAAAAATAACAATAAAGCAGCCAAAAAAAGTAACTGGTGGGTGCGCGGTTCGAACGCGCGAAGACTTACGTCCATGTGAATACAACATGTTAATTTAACATCTTAAGTCACACTCCTTAACCACTCGGACAACCCACCAATTTGATGACTGATGTAATCGAATAGAAAACTAAACGTGCAAGATTCCTTTTTTAAAAGTAAATTATTGCGCAGCAGAGCGAAGCCAAAGCAAGCAAGCAGTAGTTAGTACTAGTATACAAAGCTGCGCGAAATGATCTGGGTTCTGATTGGTCCTCAGTTCTGAGTTTTTATTAGACGAGAATCCATGAGTGACACCATTTCAAGCCATTTAGCCCATCTAGGGTTCTACGCAGTGCAACCAATTTCTAGATTATTCGACTTAGGTCGTCTTGCATCGCCATACCAGAGGGAATAGTCCGTTTTGCCATTGCTCATTAACGTTTTGTTCCTGTACGGCCATTGTACTTTCATCTGTCGTTCAAACTGCTGATGAAGAGCTCAACAGATGCAGTTGAGATACGTTTTCTTTATCCTTGTCCTGACTGTATTGGTCGAACTCCTGGTGTTTCTTTCGAGAATTGGGTGTCGCTCCCCAGGGCAAGGCTGCCAAATTTGCCCGGGGTTTGTGTTGCACTTTAAATTAAAGGTCTTTCAACATCCTGGGCAGGAATTTCGGCTACTGCTAGTGATGGGACAACCTGGGCTTTTGTTTCCTGGCTTTCTCTTCGCGCTACAGTAAAGGCTTCGTCCACATCCCGCTAGAGCATGTCGTCTTTTACCCTTGGTTAGGGATTTGGTTTTCTTCTCGAGCCTATTTAGCCAGTTCATCTTGACTGTAGTAGACCCTAGTGCTGTCAGATGGCTGCAAGAGTTGACACTATCAAGGTATGTAGAGAGGCTGGTTGGCTGTGAGAGGTGGTGTTTTCTGAGAACAAGGAGACCTGAGAATTAATTTGCAGGACTTACCGGGAGTAGTGTCTTCAATGTCAGAGTCAACGCCTGAGTAGAAATCTGAGTCAGTGTCGTGATCAAAGTTTATGTTGATATCACAGTTTGTGTTGTTGAGTGTAAACTTTGGTGGGTTCAGCTTTGATGGAATCCACTTTGAATCAAAGCCACGCAATGTTTTCATAGTGACTCCATTATTCAAGATCTTGTAGGGTTGACTGACAATAGCTTTTGTTTGGTTATTCATCCAAGTCAAACTCAGTAAAGAATACTTTTCAATCAATAGGTTAGCCTCATATATATTCAGTGATAGTGGATATGGAGAGCGATTACTTGATTCTTTGACTTCAGGTACAGGAACACCCAATGAAACCCGTCTGTGATTATCCCAGATGTTTCCTAGGTACCATTCCCAGATTTGCTTCGATTGTGCTAGATTAATGCTGTCAATGTCCCGTCAGTAGATTGTGAATTCTAACATTTACGGAGCTTTTGGGCTTACACGCAGCTGCAAGGACTGATAAAAATACTGATATTTATCAACAGCCTTTTCTGCGTGAAGCACGATCAAGTTGGTCTCCAAATTGCATGCCTCTCCATCCCAGAATATGTAGTCTGCTACACGTTCTAGGATTTTCCTTGGTTCTGAAAGGTGTCTGGTAAGCATATATATTGTTCGTAGGCCCAGGAAACGGTCATTAGACACTTCGAGATATTCTCCACATTGAATGGTGGGTGTGAGTACATATCAGCATTCTTCTCTACTATGACCTTTGTTAGAGCCAGTGTAGGATGTAGGATGGCATCGACGCGTGGCCGAGCTGAGGTAGCAAATGGAGATCCAGCAACAATTGCTAGACTGTGATCATCCAGTAAAGAGACAAACCAAGTCGGTAGCTCATATGCTATGTGAGGTGGGTGAACATGCCATCGGCCCTGATTCCTTGCGCCAGTATTATCTGTGATTCCACAATAATCGAAAAAGTAGTCATCGAATACGGAACATAGAGAGTGTTCCATCGCGAAATCGATCTTCAATTTCGACGACGCCGAATGGTATGTATATACTTTCGAGTCGACCGTATACACAGTCTATGAGATTATTGCGAAGACTCATGCGTGTTCGACAGCGAAGTGGAGGTCAGACGCAAGAAGAGGAGTCAAAGTTAGTTCCTGATTGAATAATCGTGTCATATTTGGGCCGAGCTGACGTTATGGGATGAAAAGGTGAGGGTAGATTATGGTGAAGATGAACTTAGCTTTATATTGTAAGTACTTCGCACTATGCCTACAGTTCAGTTGTGGATATTATTGACAGCATCAACAACAGCCCAGCGTTATATAGACCTTTCCCAGAAAGAATGAGTACATACGACCACAGGGTTTGGAGAACAGGGCTTCCCGTCCGCTCAGCCATACTTTTAGTAGGTGATTAAAATTGCTCATCACTTGGACACGGTAGACATTTACTTGGGTGGGTATGGAAAGGGATATTAATCTGCCATTTACTAGTATCATTGAGTATTTCTATAGTTGATACTGTGACCTCAGATAGGACATTCCGAATAGTAATCTAGGGCTTCTAAGCCATTATGTCCTCCCAAGTGCCACGGGTAAGTAAAGCTGGGTTGAATGTATATACACTCAATATAGTGTGCGCGCTTGTAGGACCTGTGAGTATTTTTGAACTTCTATGCTCATCATGTGAAAAGAGGCAGCCACTAATCCTTTTGATGGCAATGAAGAAGTTTTGGGGTGACAAATTCATCCTCTCCCCCTTATATCCCAACTGTGGTGCGTCCGCGGTTGTCCTTGCTGACCTTTTGAAATTGCTGGATAAGCCCTAAGACCCCTGCGTTCCCAGCAATTTCTTCGACGTTCTCTCCGTCCTCACCTATGTCCTTGTCAATCTCATCCCCCATCAAGTTTATCCGCCAGGACTCTCCAAGATTGCTATCACTGGTGCCGATAGCGCCACCGCTGGATCCCGTCGTTGTATGTGGCGACTTCTTGACAGCAGCACGATGGATCTCCGCTGAGGGTGATTCATTGTCGTCCTCGATCGGGTCACTCATGGGTCGCACTGGACGCGACGACTTGAATCGTGGATAAAGGGCAGAGCGGTTTGTCGTCCGGAACTCTGACGCTGTCGGCTGATGATGCGGGTCAAGGAGGATAGATGGTGCGGGAGACGCGTGATCGCCAAAGCCTGCGGCCCCGAAGCCAGGGCCAAAGCCCGATTGTTGCCCCATAAAAGTAGCTGCTGGACCATGTCGTGTTTGAGTTCGTCCCAGCCGCTCGCCGATATTACCCATTTCAACGGCAGACGGCGACCCCAGAGTCGGAAAGGCAGGTGGAGGGTGGAACTGACGGCGACTGGACGGGTTCGCAGGGCGATTGCCACCATAATTATCCAAAAAGCCGTAGTAAGATGCGAGCATTTTGCCATCCTTAGTCGAAAAGTAGTCCGCCCGCAGGTCCTGCCTCCCGCTCTCTCGTCGTCCCGTACCGCCTTGAGTAATGACGTTGGTGCCTTTCTTGAAATCAAATACGGCAAATGAGCAGAGATACCCCATGCCATCCACATGCACGGTGAACTCCCGGAAAAAGTCGATAAGGCGATCACTGCATTTAGGCAGGCTGAACCAGAGAATAAACGGGGTGAAGATCATGCTCAGGATCTCTTCTAAGAAGATGACGATCTTCATCTGGTAAAGCATAGCAAACTCCTTCCGAACTTCGTCACTGTGCAACCGCCCTTTCCAATGATTCGGGAAATAGTGGGTGAAGTCAATCACTTCAAGAAGTGCAAACTCGGGATCAAAAACATTTGTTTCTTCCGGAACTAAGCCTCGGGCAAAAGCCCACACAGAGCCAAAAACACCCAGGTAGAAAAGGACGGTTCGGTCATGTGTAATTTCAAAGCCCAGGAAAAGTTCTGGGTCTATGATTGATACCAGAGCCAGTACGGACGCCAGGGCGCCGGAAACAAACGCCACAAAGCCAGCAACCTGGACAGTCTTATCCTTAGGAAATTGGTCCACATAGCGACTAGCAAAAGGATACGACATGTTGACACGGCGCTCAAATAGATGCCAGAGTTCATTGAACTCGCGGAACTTCCATTCGGCTAAGGGGGTATACTGCCGGGATCCAATCTGGGACGGGTTCTTCTTGTACTCGTTAAAGTAGCGGAAAAAATAATGCATCAAGAAGTAAACGACAATAAAGGGGGCTACGAAGATATTCATGATACCTGCGAAGATGAATCGCCGCCGCAGGCCCTCACTCAAGGCTTTTCGGTGGGTGTCCTTCAGGAACAAGGTTCGTACTTGGCCCTGGTCATTAAAAACATAGTCCATAATGCAGAGATTGATGTTCCATTCTAGCGTCTGCGAAAATAGTTGCCTGTTTCGGAGGAACGGTATTGGGAGAGTCAAATCTAGTATGTCTTTGTTCACCAAAGCGATCAGGTAGTTCTCTTTACGCATCAATCGGTTTGCGATATCGTGAGCATCCATCCTCTGCTTGGACTGGCTTCCCATGAACTTGCGATGTCTCGCAGAGACTGCCCCAGCAGTGGCAGGGTTCGCATCTCTAAGAGTCATTAGCCGGCTCACAACCTCCTGCCAGGAGATCGTTTGGATCTCGCTATCGGAGATTCCGAGCAAATAGTAGTAAAAGTCATGCATGTGCTTGAGCCTTCTAATATCCATCAAGTACTGAAAGGCCTTTCCAATCCAGAAAACGGTCAAAATCCAGAGCAAGAAGGTAGAGGACATAGACATCTTCTTAGTGCACTGTTGGATGAGTATATCATCCATTTTTCTACTTCCTCGAAAATTGCGATAATCGATGCAGTTGGTGAGAAAAGTACTAAATCCCACAACAAAAGCAAACGTCCTGTAATTTGGTTATGTATTCGTCAGCGGAAGTAACCATATAAGAGCCAGGGGTGAGCTCAGGTAAGGGCGTACAAGAGGCTTAAACACCGGTTCAGCAAAATTGACCATATCCCATTCCCTAGGAAGTAGGTATAAACATCCTTCACAAAGTTGTCCAGATTCTCCACGTTTGCCCACAGCCACATGGCTTTCTCTTTGGGATCTACCGTGGCCAGGTTAGGATGGCCCAGCGACCAGATTACCCCGGGACGTTGTCCCCTGCGATCATTGTGGAGCGGTAGCTGTTCCCTTGTTGTATTCCAACGAGCCCGATCTACACGCGATGAAGGGCCAGGGGCAGGAGAATGTTCTCGCTGCGGATGGCGATGAGAAGGAGGAGGTGGGGGAAGTCGAGACTTCATCTCGTCGTCATCCTGGTGTCCTTCTACTAGAAGGGAGGGAGGCACATCATCATCACCGTCGTCGGGGTCCTGGTGCATCCACCGAGGACGACTGTGTTTCCGCCGCCGGGAGCCAGTTTTAGTAGCTGCTATGCCAGAGGTTCTTTGTGGGCTTCGTTGAGTCAGGAACGGCTCGCTCGGGCTCGGACTCGGACTCCGTATGCCGTTTCTCGTAGCATCGACCATGGCCTCTTCCAACTCACGGTCACTAAATTGAGTCCTCTGATCATCTTCAAATTCTAGCCCTGCACGTTCCTCAACATCCGAAGGATTCGATTCTGCGTCCTGCTGTCGAAGCGTTTCGTAGACCGATGGAGAGCCGTTCGGAGGAAGGAAACGAGATAAGATATTTGATGTCATCATCGTGGGCTAAATATCTTGGAATGTTAATCGAATCACATCAGTGAGAGCTGCTTAAATAGCAGTGCATCGTAGCCACCCTTAAGCCAGAATACAAGCGTCAACTAAGGACCATTCATCGAGGTAGATAGTCGCCAGCGGTCAGCTTAAGGTACGAATGGGAGCTGGGCGCAATCAAAGTATTCAGTTGTATTAGTGGGGTAAAAAAAATATATCTAACAGAGAACTAATGAGGCCTTATGTGCTATACTGAAGAGTGATACGAAGGCCTGGTAAGCAGGGAGGGCAGCGTCGACTCTTAGTGTAGGGGGAGTGGTTGAACAAGCAGCAGCATATGGCCAGTCCTCGTGATAAGCTATGATGCAGGCGGTCACGTCGATATCAGATCTCAGCCTGAGGCCTGCAGAGTCATGTGAGAGATACGTAGATGGTCATGTGACTTATATAGGATCAACGGTTGATCCGGCGGGCGGACCCCAAAGATGGAATGGCACCATGAACTGACGATTACGTACAGTACCAACGCGATCGGAAATCGAGTCAGGAGTTCGCTGACGACACGAGTCAGTTGTTTGTAGGATTTTCTCGGGATGAGCCGCCAAACACCGCTGATTGGCTCCAATGATCCAAAATCCTCAGCCTCCCTTGCGTTCATGCGGGGATGGATTGTTTTCTCTTCCACTGGAAAAGCCAGTTGCGTGACTTCCGTTGTCGGTGAGTCTCCGTGGGCTCGAGAATGCATCCAGAATACAGAGTACCTTTCTAGAATTACCGAGACATGTTCCACTGCAGGGGGCCCTTACCCAGTTCTCGTGCATTGGTGTGATCATGGAACAGGTCTTGTCGCCGTTTGTTCCTGCATCTGTTGAACATGGGCTGGAAAATCTTACATGGGTATATCAATCACTCGATGTAAATTTGTCGCCTAATTTCTCTTTTTGCCCCTCGGTTGTGGTCTTAAGGAGTAAAAGAAAACAAAACGAAGAAAAGAGAAGAAAAAATTATTGCTCTGTACATGTGGCCCTTCCTATCATGGTTGCTT